ACTGAGACTGTGACTGTTTCTTCATACCTAACAAGCGACCTGTATCCCCTGCAAACAAACGGTGCGGTAAAAATTTGGATCTGTTTTAGTATCAGACCCAGCATGCGAATGAAGAGCGTAGAACGCAGTCAAGTTATTTGATCAACTTATTGCCACTAACCTTGACTCATTTTTGTCCTCGAACTAGCCCTATAGTTAAAAGAAAGTCGAGTTGGCGTGGCGTTAGTCATTGGTATTGCAACTCAAAAGAAGAAGAAGATGCGATCACTGCAACAAGAAATTTATTTTCCTGACGTTTCGGATTCTGTCCACAATCCCATACGGCGTACTGGGACATTTCCTAAGCAAGAGAATCAGTTACATGGGAAGGCCCGGGCCCAGCAACAACTCTGACGACAGCGAGCATAATTGTCGCGCCATTATCAAGCCCGCATCCGACACGGACAACGCAATCGCGGCCATTAATGAGTCGAAAGCGAAGTGTCAAGCCATCACCGCACCAACTAAGACCCCAAACGGTGGTTACAGCAGCTGATAATTATAGTACGCATGCGGATGACCGCTACGACCTATAAATGCCGTGCAATCTGTGCATGTATCACCACAACCTGTGCGCGATTCACACTATTCTACGGTTACCTATGATTAAGGATTCTCGACAGAATCCGAAACGTCAGGAAAATAAAATTCTTGTTCCAGTGATTACATCATCATCATCATCATCATCATCATCATCAACATCGTCGTCGTCTTCTGAACTGCTTCCTGGAACTTGCATATTTGTTAATATCGGTATTGTAACTTATCTCCTGTGAGAGTCAAAACAACCCCAAAGCTGTTGAATACGGGAATATAGACCCCCTTACTACACCTTGTCTTAAATTAGATTCCAAGAAGGGGAGTATCTACTCCCGTATCCTACTCCTAGCTCTGATACTAACGCTAAGCCTGTTCCTAACTGTAACCCCCTTACATCTAATGCGCGGTAAGGTGTGGCAAAAGGAAAAGTACCAATTTTGCATCCAATTTCCCCTTCCCGAGCTAGTGAGCGTGCGAATGTAAATGACATTATAGGGCATTAATCGCCTTCCATTTGACACCCATCTATCGCACACATAAAAGACCCTACTGTGAGAGATTGAGTCCTTTACGCTATGCGATTCAGTCCACAGAGGATCATAATTTAATGCCAATAAGAACCGAAGCTTCTCTATGCAACTGAAGCAGAGGAGGTTATAAAGTATGCACTTGGCTGCATTTATCGGTTACATCTGGGAAAACGAAATCATCAAATTTTAGTATTTCAACGAAAAGAAAAAAAGGCTGTTTGCCCTATTATGTGGTCAGAGGAACATGGTTATTGTCCGCGTTGTCCTTCGGGAGCAGTGAGACCCGTGTGTGAAGTGGACCAGACCCAGTTGCTTGAAGTGACAAGACTAAACCAAGACAGGGGGATGTCAGTGGAGACACTGTGACGGGCCCGACACTAGGTCCTGTGTCATACACGTGCTAGTCTCTCAATCGAGGCGAAGCAGTCATAACTTTTCCATATATTACATCTGTCAGGGTCGCCATGAGGTCACTTTACGTCCATAAGCAACCTAAGTTCAGAGAACCGACTCATGTCGTCAGTGAGAAAGCAATTCGCACAATGACCCTGGATGCTCAGTAATGGTACTGATTGCATTCGACCTATTGTGAAGACAGGCGCACGGAATTGACCCGACAAAGTATTCGTCCCCTCACCATGCAACAGCAGCAAGACTGAGCCAGCCGGACTGGCTACCGCTCATGAGAACTAAACCCAAAACGATAAACGGACATTCGAGGTCGGTTGGGGATGCTTCGAAAAGTGTGGTACATAACCTGACGCATCCAATTGACTGACTGAGAGAAATAAGAAGAAGAGTGGCTTTCTCAAAGGAAAAGGGCAGGTGCACATGGATAAAAAGAGTGAGACTTCCTATTTCATAAATTTATGGCAATATTCAACCTAGTAGAAGTATGATTGATCGTGCGAGTTCTTTTGGACAAGTTGATCCTTTGGGTGGATCGAGTTGACGTTAGGCATCTCAAAGTCATAGGAGTAATAAGACGAATTTCGACGTCCATTTCCGAAAGAGGAGAATTTTTACAACAAGATATATTCCGACTACTTAATCTGGGGTGCGGGGTTTGCCGCGAATCGCAGCAATAAAACAGGACCCACCTCCTTTTGGTATACCTTAGTCCAGATGCCAGCGAAAGTGCGAGTCCCAGGAAAAAAATAAAGAAGCATATGCTATCGCTGGTACAAGAACTTTATTCGCTCGACGTTTCGAATTCCTTCTCGATGCAGACGGAAACGGGTTTCTGCTACTGTCTCTGAACGAGAAAGGGTCCAAAAGTCAAGCGAATAAAGTTCTTGTTCCAACGGTAGCACCTAATTTTTCTTAATGCCTTATTCCTTTTGATCTGATTTAATCGGACTTGTCAATCAAATAAAACTGACAAGGGGCACTTACATTTGCTAACAATAATGGAATAATCAGATATGTGGTCCCAAGGATAGTAAGATTCTTGAAGTTGGGGAAAAGTTGCAAACGGAGGTTAATGGATGGGTAAACAAAACGGGCAGAAGGAAGGAAAATGAAAACAAATAACAGCCACAACATTAGCTTTTATAAATAAACCAATAAAGCGTAAAAACATCAAATGCGTACCTTGTAATACTACAGGGTGTGGTCTGCAAACGGACAAACAGGGAAAACCAAGGGCTGAGGCTGAGGCGAACTGAACTGTATCACCTGATGAACAATCACGTTTAAAAAGGAAATTTGCAGAATCGATCGTTAAATCCAAATCTTGCTGACTGGGTCTGGAGTTGACAACATTGACATTCTTCTCCTTAAAAAAATGTCTAAAATCCAACAATCAGCCTAAGTTACTCACATTAGATCTAATCTCTAAACCCAATACTAGCCTCTTGTTCTAACTCTAAACTCGATTTCTAACTTTGACCCTTCGTCCTACTCCCAACCTCAACCCCTGATCATAAACCTAGCCCTAAGCCAATCGCAACTTATAAAATTAACCCTAGGTCTAAGGCCTAACCTATAACCCGAGCTTTGCCACTCAAGCCTAACTTCACCGTCTAACTACCCTTAGTTCCCCACCCTAGCATCTCACCCCTAATCCTAACCCCAAGCCGACCACGCACCCTCACTGAAGCACTTGAAGGAGTGCGTGACGGGGAATGAGTGAAAGTGAAGGGGGCTTAAACAAAGCCTACCAAAATGAAATAATTAGGTATGTAGGATACGCAGATAATAGGTGGAACTACACACCCGATCATCACCACTATTGGTTTCAGGTCTGCTGAAGAACTGGGATCAAGGTCAAAAGGGTAGAAGGATAATGTCAAGAACAAAGTCTAATCCATCAATTATTCCAAAAGCCCTGGACATGGGAGCAAACAAACGCACATGTATGCCCTCCAGATACAGTGACAGAAAATAAGCTTACGCATTA